CTGCAAGAGGCAAGGAAGTACCCTACCCGGAGTCTCAGACAGAGCGTGGACTTCCGGTGTCCTGCGAGAGGATATGTGTTAGTTTTAAGCCACCCTGTTTGTGGTACTTTGTGACAGGAACCCCAGAAAAGGAATTACAGTGTCAGGGAAGGATCTCCTTGCAGAGCTCAGGTGTGCTCCCATGATGGAAACAGTTTCTTTTGCAGGTTCATAACCAAAGAGCCATCATTGTAAGAAAAAAAAAACATATTTTAATAGTAATCATAAGACATAACCTCTAGAAAACAAAGCATAAAGAGTACATAGTGTCCAATTCTACTTATAAAAACACAATTTAGATGAATGCCCACTATTTGCTTCGACATGGATGGAACTAGAGGGTATGACGCGGAGTGAAGTAAGTCAATCGGAGAAGGACAATCGTCATATGGTTTCACTCATATGAGGAATATAAGAAATAGTGAAAGGGATTATAAGGGAAAGGAGGGGAACTGAGTGGGAAAAATTAGAGAGGGAGATAAACCGTGAGAGACCCCTAACTCTGGGAAACACGAAGGGATGTCGAAGTGGAGGTTGGGGGCGGGGATGGGTAACTGGGGATGGGCACTGAGGAGGGCACGTGATGGGATGAGCTAGATGTTGGAAAACTGAATTTAAATTTTAAAAAATGTGAAAAAAATAAATTTAATTAATTAAATTAAATCTTTAAAAACCCCACAATTTAGAAGCAGAGACCTGATCAGTGGTTGCCTGGGGCCAGGTGTGCAGGAAGAAAGGGACCACCAAGGAGTGGCAACTTTTGGGGACGATGGAAATGTTCCGTATTTTGAATCAATGGCGGGTTCGTGGGTCTATACATTTTTCAGAATTCTTGAAAACGCACGGCTCAAATGATGCAGTTATTGCGTATTTCAATTAAGTTGATAAAAAGCTAAGCAAGGCATTGTAATAGAGACATTTTACCAGTGTCAGCGGGACCGTCTCCATCCTTATGTGGCACTAGCAAGGTCCCCGCTACGCCGCACCACCGACACCGGTTCAGTTTCCCCGACAGGCTCTGTGCTGTGAAATCTTCAGTTGTGCTGCCCATGGCGCTGGTTTTATTATTTTTCATTTAAGGAAAGGTTTTCACACTGAGACACAGTGAAAGGAAATGGAAAATCGAATGTTAACAAAGAACACACTTTTAACGATCACATGCAGGTCAGAGTCTTTTTATACTAACATTTTTAACATACTTGTCGTTGCGGTGCTTTTCACTTTTTAAATATTTCACGCGACGTATTGTGTGATTCCGTTGGGTCTCTTCACATCTCCTTTGCACTGTCGGTACGTCTTTCTCATGAGTGATTTTCCATCCATTTGAAAGAACGGCTAGAAATAAGAGTGCAAACAAATAAATCACCGGATGTCTGAGTCTTTAAAGTCTTGTCTAGATGCGTCATACTATTGAAGTCACGCCGTGAAAAAGGGTGAACCACTAACTCTTCACGGAAAGCAACTGCTAAAACTCAGAGGCTAATCACATATGTTCTTGTCATTAATTACACTAAGCAAACAACGGAAATAGTATTTTAAATACCATTGGATCCTAATAAGGTTTCAGGTACATGAGGGACATTTTTTAACATGAGACACACACACACACTAGTTTTCCTCTAGCCTTAAATGATGGCATCTTCCACCATTAATAGAAAATCCAAAAACAGGGAGGCCTGGGTGGCTCAGCAGTTGAGCGTGTGCCTTGGGCTCAGGGCGTGACCCCAGGGTCCTGGGATCGAGTCCCGCGTCGGGCTCCCTGCATGGAGCCTGCTTCTCCCTCTGCCTGTGTCTCTGCCTCTCTGTGTGTGTCTCTCATGAATAAGTAAATAAAATCGTTTTTAAAAAATAATAAAATAAAATCCAAAATCAGTTTTGGTATCCTTTCCACTAAAAAGTGACCACATAGACAAAAAAGTTGCCAGGTGCCATGGCAAGACTTTGTGTCGTCAACACTCACAGAAGAGCTCTGATTCCTTTCAGCCGAAGCAGGGGGGAAAGGCTGACAAAGACCCGAGAGTTCTCTTAGGGCTACTTCACGTCCTTGGAAGCCGGGTAGACACTGATATCATCTCCCCACGCATCACCATAACCCAGGGATTCCACAGAGTCAGAAATCCTTTAAAATAGTCTTGGAAAAAAAAAAAAAAAACAGAAAACATCTAGATGGGAAAGGGCAAATGTGACCACCATAATGATGGTATTAATTTACGTGCCTCTCTGTTTCCCTCCACCCCATACAGCTTCATCATGCACCTGCTTAGAGATTATGAGAAGGCGGGACTCTTACCTGGTAACTGGTAGAACGATTGTTGGCTCCAAAAACTGTCAACAGTATAGACAACGACACTCTAACATTTATAGGATTTTACCAATCTGTCGTTAACCCAAGCCCAACACTAAGATAAAACCTATGTGTCAGCCTTATACAACGGTCATCAGACTGTGAAGGGGAGCCAAAGCTGAGTTCTTTCAAATAAAAGTGTTAGTAACATCATATTGGATTTTTAAATGCATTAATTTTTCAGTGATAAATGGAGCTTGTTATTAACAGATAGGCTCCTCCGTCTACTCCGTGAACCACTGAGTTTTACTGAAATCAGTGAGAGAATTGGCCCAGAATTGTATGTCTTCTGACATTTATTTCACAGGACTTGTGAGGATGGCTGTAGCTGCCCACCCATCATCTTAAAAAATTCTAAAAGCAGGGACCCCTTGGTGCCTCAGTCAGTTGAGCGTTTGACTCTTGGTTTCAGCTCAGGTCATGGTCTCAGAGCTGTAAGATCGAGCCCCGAGTCTCCCTCTGCCTCTGCTCCTCCCCCTGCCCGATCTCTCTCTCTCTCTCTCTCTCATAAATAAAATCTTTAAAATAAAAATCTTGGGATGCATGGGTGGTTCAGTGGTTGAGCATCTGCCTTCGGCTCAAGTCGTGACCCTGGGGTCCTGGGATCGAGTCCCGCATCACCTCCCCGTGAGGACCCTGCTTCTTCCTCTGCCTGTGTCTCTGCCTCTCATGAATAAATAAATAAAATCTTGAAAAAAAAATACAATTCTAAAGACAGAACTCCCCCAGCTAGCTGCAATTCTTCAATATCTAAACAAAAAGAAACTCCTCCATCAGGCTGACAGCCGGTCCCAGGGCACCTCCAAGGCTGCACCGGGCGCCAGGCTGACCTGACGCTCAGACTCGGCACGACTTGGCTCTGGGAGGCCTCTCCTATCTTTGGAAATAAAAAGCACAGAAGACGACAGTGCAAACGGCAACAAAGAGATCATCGTTCCAGGATTGGGCCAGGCGTGGACCGGGCCCTGTCTTCCTCGCGGCCTGTGGCTATTGAGTGTGGCACTTTCTCTCCACCGCGAGCTCACTACCTGTCGGACACACGAGGGTGAGCGATGGTCTTGTCGGGCACGCATTATGACCGGTGATTAGGAAGAACTATGTGTCCTGACTCTGTCCAGCAAGACCAAGCGCCGTGAAAAGCCAGGTGGCGCGAGCCCAGGGAGGCGATTCCTGGGAGCCCCTGCCCCTCTGCCTGCTGGAGGTCAAGCCCCCGAGGGCCCGCGTCTCGTCCCGTAGGGAAGCAGGAGGCCACGAGCTCACTGCGAACCAACCCAGCTTTGGTGCTTAAAGTTAAAGACAAGTGTAACGGGCACCCTGGGGGCTCAGCGGTGTAGCGCCGCCTTCAGCCCATGGCGTGATCCTGGGGTCCCAGGATCGAGTCCCGCATCAGGCTCCTGCATGAGCCTGCTTCTCCTTCTGCCTGTGGCTCTGCCTCTGTCTGTCTGTCTCTCTCTCTCTCTGTCTCTCATGAATGAATAAATAAATAAAATCTTAAAAAAAACCACTAGTATAACCTCAAGGACTTGGAAATGCCACATGGTTTTGGTCATCGATCAGCCAGTTCCACGTATAAATCACCCATTTTTGTGGATTATGAACAACGAAAAAACCCAAACGAGTATGCTGAGGCTCACCGACTTCGGGTGGGCGATCAGGGCCATGGGCTGGGTGTGCAGGGTCCGGGATCCCGGTCTCCTGACCCCAGGTCACGCTCCACGCCCAGGGCACTACTGACCCCGGCACGGAGTGTCGGCCTCCCCGTCAGCACAGTCCCTGCCGGGTCAGCGACGAGGAAGGACCTCGGCCTCCGGAGAACCAGCGGACGACGGCTCCCGTACTTGAACCAGACACAAGGGGCTGCTGGCTGCTGCGGGCGGGAACTGACGCCCCTGGATTATCCGCTCCACTTTGCTGACTGTGGCTTCTGCCCACGGGCCTCGGGGACATCAAAACACACGCAAAGTCGTGGCGCTCTGCATGTGCCTCGGCACACTGGATTTCGTTCGTAGCTGAGCCCAGGTACTGTGTCTTCACAGTAAGACACAGGCAGTACAAGAAAGCTGCTCGCCAAGTGTTAGGGACCGGGGGGGGGGGGGGGGAGGAGGGAGGGATGGGGAGGGCTGGGGAGGAGGGGAGGAGAGGGGAGGGGAGGCGTAAATAGACACAAACGATGGACCTCAAACCACTACTGGCGTTTCTCAGTGTGCAAATTATTTCAAAATCTTTTCATTCGTAAACTATTGTACCCACAGCAGGTCACGGCACGGATTTATGTTTAGAACTCTACCTTGCCTCTCTGATCTGATATTTCTAAAGGCCTAGAAGGACTAAGTATTTTGTGGTGAGGGGGATCCCTGATTGGCTCAGTGGTTTGGCGCCTGCCTTCGGCCCAGGGTGTGATCCTGGAGTCCCGGGATCTAGTCCCACATCAGGCTCCCTGCACGGAGCGGGCTTCTCCCTCTGCCTGGGTCGCTGCCTCTCTCTCCCCTGCCTCTCTCTCTGTATCTCTCATGAATAAATAAATAAAAATCTTTTTTTAAAAAAAAAGTATTTTGTGGTGATGTTTTAGAATACGAGCCACAACAAAAAGCCGGTCGGCCACCGGCAAGGAAATCCTTTAGGCTTCATGCTCGCAGCCCTGAATGGCGGCGGTGGCGGCAACACCGCCCGAAGCCCGCTGCGGGGTCCGGAGAGCCGTCGATGCTTCCCCGAGCCAGGGCAGCCGCAACTCCAAACCCCACGTCGGAGGTCCCTGGGAGCTGCTCTCTGGTAAGCGGTTTCCTCGAGGCCGGGTTTTCCTGCCCTGCCTCTCTAGAGCCACCCGCGAGTGCAGCACCTATGGTAGACAAGGCAAATTTGGAAGAGGGTCCCCCATCTCCTGTCCGACCTCAGTGCAGATCTTTCCAGCAAGCGCTTTCTGAGAAACTTCTCCAGAGATGCCAGCCGCCCAGAGGCCTCCTCCTCATTCTGCTCCTCAATTTATCCTTTGCATCAACAATCCACACCACCGGCTGTCGAATGGCAGATTAAAAATCAGAATTAACCATCGGAGGGGCTAAACCAGATAGAAAAAAATTAGAAGTAAAATTAGAATTAACTCACATTCCTGCAAGGGGTGCAGTGGGTAGGTCCAGGCGGAGAACAGATAGACGGAAGCTCAACGGGTCAGAGCACGTGGAGGCCTGGCCCCTGGTGGGGGGGTGGGAGGGGGACACAGGGCCACAGCTCTCTCCAGCCTGTCACCCTTCCATCCTGTGTCCCCAAAGTGGTACAGGAGAGTGCCAGGAAGGCCTGTGGGGTGCACCGGGGTGCCGCTCCAGAGCGGGACCGGGGCCATCCAAGCATTAGGTCACCCCTTCCCCTCAGAGGGCACCAGGCAGCCAGTCCTGACCGGGGCCCCTGCCCGAGGCCCCTCCCCTTGCTGCTTCTAGCATCCTGATTCCTGCTGCGCGAGGATTAGCACAGAGGCATCAGCAGCAAATATGCAGGGGGCTGGGGAAGGTTTTATCCTGTCTAGATTAAGACCTTAAAGGTCTAGATTTATCGTGAGTGAAGCATCATATGGATTCTGGACACAGCATTTACGAGGCATGATTGTGATTCTTCACAACCAAAACTAGATAGACACTGAACAACACAAGTTTTATGAAATACTTTCATTGTTATAAAGCAATTAAATCTTGCATAAAGTACATTTCAACTATTAGCTTTATTAAAATAATTTTTTTAAGATTATTTATTTGCTCATGAGAAACAGAGAGACAGAGAGACAGAGATACAGGTGGAGGGAGAAGCAGGCTCCACGCAGGGAGCCCGACGCGGGACTCGATCCCGGGACCCTGGGGTCACGCCCTGGGCTGAAGGCAGCGCTAAACCACCAAGCCACCCGAGCTGCCCATATTAAAATAATTTTTATTTAGTCTTTTTATAGTCACTCAGTATTGTTTCTATTTTGCCTCTTAAGTTGAATAATTCTGATTATTTTACCAAAAAAGCTCTCTCAAAAACATCCTTAAAAAATACAACTAATTCAACTTTTATTTACCTCAGTTTATATTTTATTGGTAACATGTTGAAATTTGATATTTTTCAACTGCATTTCCCTTTCTAATCTTTTAGATCAGGGGTTGATAGATTTTTTTTTCTACGAAAACCCTGTGTTACATCATTAAGAATGACGAGAGTTGGTATTTTGCTACAAGCAGAAAACCTGAAAATGGGGTATAAAGACAGAGAAGAAATAGGGACAGAAAACATTCACAGAGGCAGCCTGCCAAAAAAATTTAACAACAGTAAAAACGAGCACACTTTTGTCAAATGTAACCCACATAAAATTTGTGGATAGGCACCACTAGTTTATTTTATGAAAGTGTAATTATTGATCAAAACAGCAAATATGAGCAAGAAAATTATTCTAAATCAAATCCACAACTTGAACAACTTGCTATTTTGCCAACTTCAATCATAAAAAAATACAACGTCACAAATATTTTGATTTTGTTTCTATGAACCAATATTGATTATAACAAACATAAAGAATTTCTCTTGTAAACATTCATAGCTTATTTATAGTTTTTAAATGCTAAAAGATGGAACGCTTGGGTGGCTCAGTTGCGTAAGCAGCCAGCTCTTGATTTTGGCCCAGATCATGACCTCCTGGTCCTGGGATCGAGCCCCATGTGTCAGGCTCTGAACTCAGAGGAGACTCTGCTTGCGACTCTCTCTCTCCCTCTCCCTCTGTCTTTCTCTCTCTCTCAAATAAATAAATCAATATTTTAAAATAAAATAAAATAAATATTTTTAAAAAACCATAGTGCTTGGGTCTCCGTTAATCACAGGCACTGCTAATGTCGGGGCAAGCCCAAATAAAAGCACAGGAGGTGCTATTTTCTGGGCAAACATGAAAGAGGCCTACACACCCTCATCAGAGGTCTTTCCTGAAAGGCTGGTTTTGATCATGGAAATCTCATATCAGAAGCCGTATCCACCCCACCCTCCAGCACCTTAGTCTCCAGCCCAAGTTTCTTAGGCCAATGTACAATGATGCCCACACTTCTTCTAGAATTTACTTTTCCTCCCTTAGTTCCCAACACAATCTAACCAAAGTCTCCACTCCAGAGACCAGCTGCCCGGGCCTACTGCCCAGCCATTGAGAATCACGCCACCTGGAAGGGCGACACCAGCCCACTGCACCTGTCTCAACGCTCGGGTCACATCTGCCACCTTGACGAAGCTTTCCCTGACTATTCATGACAGTCTTATCCATCACCTTGGATGGCACATTCGCTCTGTGTCCCAGGAGGAAGGCGGCCTTGAACTTATATTACCAGTGAATGCTGCCTTCCGCCCTAACCATGAGACCTGACATTTGTTGAGGCGCTGCTACTTGCCAAGTACTGGTAGGTATTTTACATTCACTCTCAAAGCAGCATTAAGTGAACTACATTGACAACTCTTCCTCCCCCTGATGCTGCAAGTTCTGAAATTTCCTCCACACTCTACGTTTTCCAAATTCTTACTGGTCACGTTCATATTTTATGCAAACCAACATACCCCACAGTATTTCATTAAATGTTCAGAGCAGAGCAGAGCAGTCACTCAACAAAAATGCAGTACTGGGGGATCCCTGGGTGGCTCAGAGGTTTGGCGCCTGCCTTTGGCCCAGGGCGCGATCCTGGAGTCCCGGGATCAAGTCCCACGTCAGGCTCCTGGCATGAGGCCTGCTTCTCCCTCCTCCTGTGCCTCTGCCTCTCTCTCTCTCTCTCTCTCTCTGCCTCTCTCTCTCTCTCTCTTTCTCATAAATAAATCTTTTTAAAAAGTGCAGTACTATTACTGTAGATGTCAGAGAAAAACCATATCGAATCTTTAATTATGCAAAAGCTATAGCTTATATGTTCATATTTCATTCATAAAAATAACTCTAGCTTAGCCTTACCCACTATCTATACCATACATACAACATACTTGTTTTTTTCATATCCCAAATATGGCAGGTTTTAGAATGATTTTTTTAATGGTTGAAAAGATGACCAAGAAAAAATTATTTCACCCAAAACAAAATTACCACTTCTCTGATAAATTCATTGGAATCCTAGAAAACATACCGAAAGGTTAACTGATAGCATAGAACTGTTATGCTATTTTTTTCAAATATCAATATAAATAGATGAGATCTACAAGGAAAGAACCTACATCTGGTTGCTCTTTCTCATTAACTGCTTGGCTAGCCGTGGCACCATAAGAATGGGAATCCATTGGACTGTTCACAATTTTTATGACTCTATTATCTTGTATAAGATCTGTTTTATCTAAATAAAAAAAAAGATCTGTTTTATCTTTTCCTAAAAAGGGAAGGAAGCGCTTGGGTGGCTTGGTTGATTAAGCATCTGACTCTTGGTTTCGGCTCAGGTCACAATCTCAGGGTCCTGGGATCGAGCCCTATGTTGGGCTCTGCACTCAGCAGGGAGTCTGCTCAAAATTCTCCCTCTCCCTCTGCACCTCTTCCCACTTGCACATACACACTCTGTCTCTAAAGTCTCTAAAAACAATAAAATAATAAAATAATAAAATAAAATATTTTTTTAAAAATCTGTCTTCACTACAGAAATATGAGAACTACGCTTGCATAGTAAAAAGATACTTTGAGATAAATCACTGTTTATAGATATCTAATCCAAGTGTTTAGCTTGCCCCAGATTTCATGGTTTTGAGAAAATAGTTCTAGAAACACATGGACCTTTGGGGGCTTAGTACAGGAAGCTGAGTTTCCATTAAGCTCATTTGTCTGTGCAGGGGTGGGCTGGCGCCTCCTCACATGGGGTCACAAACGCTGATTACACACAGCTCTTCCCAACAGGGCGGTCAGGGTGTCCCCGTGACGGCTGGAAATCAGCCATGGTGGGAATAGTCACAACTCGGAAGCTGACAAATGTTTATAGTAAGGGCTGCCCCCACCCCATCCCAGAAAGCCAATTGTTCAACATTTACCAGCACACCATGGCCTATTAGCTAAGATTCCCCCACCCTGCCAACCCCCAGAATGTTCTAAGTATAAGGGAAGAGGAGAAGAAATAATGTAACTTTTTTGAAAATATAACCACAGACGTGGGTCCAAAGGCCCAAACTTCAGTTGTAAGATGAATGAGTGTGGAAAATCTAATGCATCGTACGGCGATTGTAGTTCACCCTACTGTATCACAGACTCGAAAGTTGCTGAGAGTAGATCTTCAGTGTTCGCACCCCAAGAAGGAAATGGTGATTGTGTGATACGATGGAGGTGTTCGCTAAAGCTACACCTTTATGGTAATCACATTGCAGTATAGAATGGATCAAAACAACACATTGTATGTCTTAAACTCCTACAGTGTTATATACCAACTGTATCCCAATAAAGCTGGAAAAGTTTTTTCAAAGAAAAGAAAAGAAGAAAGAAAGAGGTTGCCTGGGTGGTTCAGCTGGCTAAGCGTCTGCCTAGGGATCAGGTTGCCATCTCAGGGTCCTGGGATCGAGCCCCGTTTCCCATCGGTTGGTCTGGTCGAGCTCCCTGCTCAGCAGGGAGTCTGTTTCTCCCTCTCCTTCTGTCCCTCCCCCCTCATTCGTGCTCTTTCTCTCTCAAATAAATGAATGAATGAACGAAATATCTTTAAAACAAAAAGAAGAAGAACATTTAACTCCAAAACTCCTAAAAAAACAAAAGGAATATAAAAAGAATTATCATGGAAAAATTTCTACAAGGATAATGAGGAGTCAGTGATTTTTGGCTAACAAATGAGGTAGCTGATGTTGATCATTAAGAAGTCGGTCTCCCATACTTTTCCTTAAATTTTCTACCAGTCT